CCTGGAAGATAGTGAGGTGATTGGCTGCCAGGAAGTCAGAAATAAACACTTAATTAATTGTCACACTTGATGCATACTGATTGGCTAGCTGTTCCTCTTTACTTTGCGGCAATTGGCTGACTTCATTTATCTTTAACATTGGCTAAATTCCCTCCAAAAAAAACATCAATCATCCACAACACCAACAGAGACCAACATAATGATATATTTTTTTTATTTCCCTTTTAAGTTTAAATATATATTACTTGTTTCAGTACTTTTCCGTAACCTTGGCATTTTTTAAGCTAGTTTGTTCTTTTTATTTTTCAACTAACCTAACAAAACAAAATTTAATATAATCTAGTGTTGGGTTATGTTAGGTTAGTCAAAAAATTAATCTATTGTCTTTCTTTTACATGGTATAATGGATAAGTACCATTGTTTAGGATTACATGAAGATCAGGCACCCTAGCTTATTTCACTTGAATAAATATCTGATAACATAACCTACCTTAATCCCCAGGTAGCATTAATGGAGGTAAAAAAAAAAAGCTGGGATTCCTGATTTTCATGTGATACCTTAATTGTATTCAACATTATTTCAATCTACAGTACAGGTATATGTGTAAGTGTCAATTACAAACCATCTGAGGTAAAGTCAAGCAAAAAATACAAAATAAATGAACTTGCTTCCTTTTGGCATGAGCTACAATTTTCTTGGTAAGAGCTGACCATATAATAAACGTTAATGCAAAAGCTGGTCATATGTCAGTCAGTGTACAATATCTAAATTAAGAACACTTCAGGCAAGGAAAAAAACATTTTCAATTATTTAGTCAAGTAAGGCGAGTACAGTACTGATTTGATCATTAATAATATCCTTGTCTTGTTCTCTCAAAACGATATTCTCTCTTTCTCTTTATAAACCCTTGTACAGTACAGTGTCCTTTATATAAAACATTCCTATCATACAGTGGTGCTCTAGGGTAAATCTCAGTCATAAGTCAAGTAATAACTATAGTTAGCAACTGCTTACTGTACTGATGGTGGAAATTTTTTGTTGAAGCAACACTCACCTTCAATGTCAGCAGACACAAGACATCACATTATAAAGACTCAACAGCCTCTATAGATGCAGTTGTCAGGTGAGTGTACGTTGTCAGTCTCTACCTATACTGTACTATACTGGTGCGGTCAGGTTGATCTGGTAAATAACTCGTCCAACGACCAACAACGTTACTGTAGGGAGAAGTTTATTCCTATATTACTGTTCCCTTATTTATAACAGTTGTTGAAACAAATGCAAACAACAGTAAAACAACAACCTCCTTTAGCAAGTCATGAGGAATGGCAACAACAAAAATACAAATTTAGAACCGGTAGGGTATCTGGGCTTTCATATGTGGTCAATCAAGACCACATACTGTACACCTTTTCTCTACATCTCTGTCACTATAACAGTACCCTGGCTGCTTAGGTTAACAGTACTTTACACGCACTGGTGAATGCAGGTGGACCTACATAAACCACGCCACCACCTTCCCCATGGCTGCTCCTTCCCCCAATCTCACACTGCTTACATGCATTAATATTCAGTCTTACTAAAAAATAAAATTAAACCTTAAACTGGCATTCTAAGGAACAATAATGTACTCTGGTGACATAGGTTTATCCTGGACGAGAGCTTCACACCAGCATATCTAGCTCTTTATCCGACTATTTGATACCGACACTACACGGTGCTACAGCAGGCGCACCAGTGGCTTTATAAGATGTAGTGTATTGAGGACTCAGTAGCAAAACATAACATCTTCACTTGCCCAATACCTAAACAATTTTTTTTTTTTTTTTAAGGTGAACACACTTGGAAATGTGACTACCCTTTCAGGTAAGCTATTATGTACAGTATGTCCTCCATGTGCAGTAAGAAATTATTTGTCTCAGCTTGGTTTGTGGACATCTGAACAACTTAAAATCCTGGCAGTGTACTGCATACTGCCATTATGGAGTCTCAGTGGTGGACAGCTTCTTCATAACTGATAAGCTTATGAAGAAAACACGAATGAGGGACCTTAACCAATGCCTTCATGAAATTCATGTCACATCTTATACCCTTCTTGTCTATGACCTGGCCACAACTCCAGTACTTTCAACAGCTGTTATGGCCAACACTGAACATTAATGTTTATGACTGATTCATATTACTATTTATAAGCATGTACAAGATACCTAAATTCCTAATACTTCTTAACTTACAAGAGTTAAAAACAAAAACTTAGTTCTCATTGTTAATGCATTTCCTCATAAATGAAGATCAGATCATTAACCTATACCAGCAACCCTTCTTAGTGGCAGAACAGACAAACAAACTTCTCTTAAGGTGAGCTCATTAATTTGGGATAAAAAAAAAGGGGGGGGGGGGAGTATTCTGTAAATGATGTACGCAATATAAATACACATTTATTGGTTTATGATACATAGTTATCTAAAACTAACATTGCTTTTCATTTGCTTAAGTCTTAAAAATATATTCATATTGTAAAGCATAGCTATAATTCATTTACCATTTTGTGGTCGAAGAAATGGCTGTTTAAATTCAATGTCACGAAATGTAAAAGGACACACATTTGGAGGTCATACCAACAGGAATTAGGCATACCACATGTCCCAGTGGGACAAAGAAACGGCATTAATAGAGACCGAATGTGAAAAGGACCTGGGTGTGTATGTTGACAACAAACTAAAGTTCTCGGGCCATTGTGAGAAAAAGGTGAATTAAGCAATTAAGCTAATAGGTTTTATAAAAAGGTTGTTCAGAACTAAATGGTCCATCCCTTGTAACACTTCAAAAGTGAGGTGCTTCTCCACCTGGTCACTGAGATAAGCTAGAGATTGTCAGTTGATTGAAAATATCCAAAGGAAGGCCACCAGATTGGTGTCTGCACTACAGGATCTCAGTTACCCAGAGAGATTAGAACACCTGCAACTGCTTAGCTTATACTATAAACGGGCAAGGGGTAACCTAATTGAAGTTTATAAACATCTCAGAGGGCACTACTCAGTTGAGTGTTCATATTTGGAGCTGGCGGATGCCCGCATCACGAGAGGTCACAGCTCAAGGTTGAAGAAGCCACATGTCCAGAAAATTGTGAGGGTAAACTTTTTGGAAGTGAGAATTATAAACTCTTGGAACATTCTGCCAGAGTATTGTGACAGCACTGAGTGTGAGCTCTTTCAAGACCAGACTTGACCAGCACTGGCATAGGTACAGATACACTCTGGAGCCAGTACATAACAGAGATGTGACCGACCGCCCAAGCAGGTAATGAGCTGATCAGTGGCAAAGAGGATAAAATAAAGTATACAGTTGTACCCCACTTTACGCGGTCAATTAAACCCAGAGGGTCCCGTGTTAAGTGAAATCCGCGTTAAGTGAACAACAGAACATATGGGATTAATTCCAATAGAAACCGGCCCGACCCCCAAACTCCACTTTTTGAAGGCACATACCTATGTTGTAGTAAAAATAACATCTTAATTTTATGATGGTACATGCACACAATTAATACTTAAGAGAAATAGAGAAATACAGTCGCCAAGTTAATGTCCATTCAAATAATGGACTCAACTCCCTCCCCCTCTTCTCACACTACACTCACTGGCTCTTCCCTCTCAGAGAAATTTTTGGGGGAAAACCACTAAATTTTAATAAATAATACCTCAAACTAAAGTTAGGATAATACAATTGACATTGCTGGATTCCTTGTAAGACCAGGAATATTTTGAATATAAATGTCATATATTTTGCACAAAAGATAACATAGTTACCTAGAGAAAAATTTTTATCTAAAAATTGTATGTTTAATGCAAAATATATGATGTTTATATTCAAAATGATCACCAAATTATAAGAATTCCAGCAATGTAAATTATATTCTGACCGGGTAATTTGTATGAATTTTATGAGCTAAAACAAATATCTTCAGTTAATAAAAAAAAAAATAATCTTCACGACACTATCTGTCAATCAAAGTACCCCACCTTGCCTCCCCCCCTCTTCCAACCGCGCGGTCAGTCCCAACCCTCCCCCCACCCCCCACCAATCCTCCCTTCCAGAGTTTTTAACATTTAGTATTAAATAATACCTCAGATTAAAGTTAGGATAATATAATTGACATTGCTGGATTCCTTGTAAGACCAGGAATATTTTGAATATAAATGTCATATATTTTGCACAAAAGATAACATAGTTACCTAGAGAAAAATTTTTATCTAAAAATTGTATGTTTAATGCAAAATATATGATGTTTATATTCAAAATGATCACCAAATTATAAGAATTCCAGCAATGTAAATTATATTCTGACCGGGTAATTTGTATGAATTTTATGAGCTAAAACAAATATCTTCAGTTAATAAAAAAAAAAATAATTCTTCACGGGGTAACAGATGGTCGGTCGGTCCCTCCCTCCCCCCCACCCCCCACCAACCGTCCCAAGGAGATGTGTGGGATAACCACTAAATTTTAATAAATAATACCTCAAACTAAAGTTAGGATAATATAATTGACATTGCTGGATTCCTTGTAAGACCAGGAATATTTTGAATATAAATGTCATATATTTTGCACAAAAGATAACATAGTTACCTAGAGAAAAATTTTTATCTAAAAATTGTATGTTTAATGCAAAATATATGATGTTTATATTCAAAATGATCACCAAATTATAAGAATTCCAGCAATGTAAATTATATTCTGGCCGGGTAATTTGTATGAATTTTATGAGCTAAAACAGGCAGTCAGGCAGGGTGGCGGGTGGGGCAAATCTAAAAATAGCGTCTGGAGCCGGACACTCACCGCGTATATGTGGAAAAAATCCGTGTTAAGTGAAAGTTCAGCTCTGGCGAGGCACCGCGTATATGATAAAACGCGTTAAGTGAAACCGCGTTAGGCGGGGTAATACTGTACTCAAATAATCTAACACATTAGAGCAATGAAATTATATTTCCTTTTTTTTTTGTACATAAACACTGCAGTAGCCAGCATGCACTTGTAAATTATGAGTGTTTGACAATGCGACACCACTGTGCTGCCAGCCCAATGATGATGTTTGTCAATGGTCATGTTATTCCAAACATTAACCCACATAAATTAAAAAAAAGAGTAAATGACCTCATTTTATTCTAAAAATGGCATAAACTAAACACTTGTGAATAGAGAAGTACCTGTATACAGTAGATGAGGTTACATTAGATCAGGTTAAGTTCAGTGCAAAGTTTAATGAAATGTTTGCAGTTCTCAGTTGAATAACCTAACCTAACCTAACCTATAAGCAACATGAAATGGAACATTCTCACAGGTATTATACAGACTGACCGATCTGACACACAGACTGTACCATATAAATAAACAAACAAACACCAGGAAGGACAAGGTCTTGTATGAGGGAGTAATGCTGTCTAAATATATTAGTGCTAAGTATGTGTCCTGCCAAGGCACATTATGAAAACCTTTGTACAGTACTCCCTGCATGCCTACATGGCTTCTAGGTAAGGAGCAATTCAACCAAAATATTTTAAATAACCGTGCAATTATAGTGCTCTAAGTTCATTTTCAGGCATACATATTGTTTCTGCAGAAATAACACCCACATTACTTACCAAAAGATAATACCTGTACAGTATCCAAATAAAAGAAAAAATAAATTATTCTTTTACTCATACCGATTCTTGAGAAAAAAATAAACTTAAGAGAATGTGCTTGGTTCCAAGTTATTCTATAAAATAAGTACAGGTTGTATTTCAATATAAGATGAATTTCTATATACAGTTCTGTTCAATATTTATTGACATAAAAGATATGTGCTTGACAGTTGGAATGGAGTAAAAAAGAAACCCCTCCCATTAACAGAATCCTCCCAATAACGGACAGAGCTTGCGCAAATTAGTCCGGTGTTGGGAGGGTTTACTGCATAAGAATTAACTAAATTCCTGTAATTATTGTAATTTAAATAAGCAATAAAACAATTCTTATATATGTTTGCATTGCTCCATGGATATTACTTATTCTATATGACACAGCTGAGACTCACACCATCAGGTAACCATGTTTACAAGTGTGGGCAATGATGAACATTGCGTCAGAACCTTAATATCTATAATATCTCAAAATTTCAGCTTAAAAGTCACAGGTTTTTTTCTTCTCCAAACTGGACTGAAACAGTTTTAAATTAATACCTAATCTCTCCTTGCATTGATCTTCTTAATAAAAATCTTCCTCTACAGTTTTTCCTGATGACTTTTTATTCTTTATTTGATCTTGACTATTGTAGAGATCAGCAATCTGAAAAGTAAAAATTTTTGTTTACTTTCACAAAGCCCACAAATATTTGAGACAATTAAAAAAAAAAATAATGATTAAGTTAAATTTCAGAGACACTGCACAAGTAACTTCAGATTAGTATGCTATAAAAAATACAGTAATCCTTCAGTTGAAATCCTAATACCTGTACAGATAAACAAAAGAATACTGGGTTTCAATGGAAAATTTGGTTTTGCATTATGGAATTTCACGTTGCAGAGAATTTTTCAAGACTGTATCTCTTCCATAGTGTGGGATGCTTACTAAAATGGCCACAGTCCTGTAAACAAGGCAGGCATAAACCAGTTATTACAACACAAAATGAACCAACCAAACCTAATCTGTCCTAGAAATTGTACACTACTTTTGTTAAATTAGACAAGAACTGGTTGGGCTGGTGTCATACGTCATCATAAAATGGTGTAAGCTTACCTTGCTTTCAGGACCTCAGCATACTGTAAACCTACTTCACTTTACAAGTAAAAACTAACTTTCTTCTTACATTATTCTTGTAAAGTGAATGTTCTTTGTGTATCATTAACTGAAAGTAGGAAATTCCAATGCTAGGCTAATGCTTCACTCACTCACTGAGACGTCTTTGGTGCCTTGGTCACACATCCACAAGTTACCATTAGGTCAACTTCTTTTACTGTACCAACAACATAATTTTTCAATAACAGAACTTTACATTCATTTCATTTTCATTCTTACTTGTGACGTTAGATAAAAAAAAATAACAAGCAAATGACATGGCTGGCTTACAAAGATTGACATACAGTACACCACTGCAATCTTTAACTAAAACGTATCTTTATAGAAAAATACAATAAACTGTATGAATCTGCAAAGTAGATATTCAATAACACATTTCAAAGAGAACAAGCGGCATGACCTTTAGGACTGTGTTGTTTGCTGTCAACAAGTACATTTTTTTTTATAACCGGAATCTCTTTTTATACAACTTTTCATGGGTAAAAAATTTCAGACACTCTTGAATATACGATTTCTGGAACTTCAAAGTTGCACCACATATAAAAAGTAATACAGTAATGCGAGTAATTATAAGGTACAAAAAATCTTACCTGTACCTTTTTCTAAAAGAAAGATCTTTGTAGAAATTTTCACATTTTCTCCACCTGCTGTTTATCATTATAAACATCAAGTAGAGCAAACATTGTACTGTATATGTCTTATAATATTGCTGATAAGTAAGAGTCTCAAAGATTCTTCTGGAGGGGATTGGGCATGACAACAACAAACTCAACAGCACCACATACACTGACACACTTTAACCCTTCCTGGACAAAGACCTGAACTTACATCTCAGAAAATCCAGATCTTTACTACCTGAAGAACTGCATTACAAATAAATAAATAAATAAATAAAAGATAGTCTACTGTGTATCCACTTTTAAACTTACTTGTGATGCACTGGTGGCGTCCTCTGGCACCTTATCCTCCCTGATACGCAAGAATCTTGGGAACCTCAAAGATATACCTTTCTCGCGATCAACCTGAAAGCGACACACTAGGTAAAACACTACTCAAAGGATACATGAATTAAATCCATACAGCTTGCAAGAGTTCTGACAGCAAGATGGATGGTTAAGTGGAGGAGACATGTGTAGAATATCTTGAGAAAAAGTTACATTCTTATCGTCGAGTTAAAAATAATAGTGATCACCGCAACAGTAGACACCCTAGCTTATTTCACCTTATTGAAAACTTTAATGCCACCTGGGAGGAGTTAGGTTAGATTGGGTTTGATTTGGTTAGATTAACACTAGGGTGATTAATCTCTAGGTGATCTCCCAAAATTTAGTACTGTACTATATTGGCAACTTACGATTCCTGCAGCAGCCTTATGAACCGGTGATATAGAGAGATCAGCACACTTGATCTCCCACACTTGTACAGCGTCAAACCACTGATCAGGAGCTACACTGTTCTCATACCTGTAAAATCACAGTTTAAAACTAATGTCATGCTGAACAGTTGAATTTCATTATCAATAAAATATTTCCTAAACTCATTTCCCTAAATATATAAACACAAATTCCATAAGTCTCTATACCACAATCTAAGTAAATTATTTAACTCTTTTATGATTGACTTATACTGCACTTCATCAATAACAATATCTAGCTGAGGCAAGAACAACCTAAGGTAACACTATACAGCGAGGTGAAATTATGCAAGTGTAGGTGTAGAGATGACAGCACAGTAGAGACCAAGGGGCAATAATTCTAAATAATGGCAAAAATAAGGATCATTAAAACTTGTGTGAGGCCTCGTTGTGTGGAATCTACATTTTGTACTAAAGTTTGGTTAACATCCATCAATATTTTCTTGAGTTATGACACAGATATGATGATGATGCTGGACATAGACATGGAATAAGTGAGTAAATATGCTTTAAAAAAAATAACAAACTATGATGTTAAACAATAGACTCGTGGCGTCACTGGTCTGTTTTGGAAGATGGGATGAGCCACTGGTATTTAACTAGGTATATTCTGGAGGCCTAATATGAACTACTGGGCACTAGGCAGGGCTATACTAGTATGATGTCCTTAATCCAAGAAAATTAGGATGGAATGAAAAGTTTTGAACTTAACAACCTTAGTTCGAAGCTTCCTAATCGTGATGAATAAATAAATAAATACATTATCAACTAAAATTGACAAATATATCTGTATAAACAGATTTAAATGTGTATGATGACTCACCGATAGTAAGATTTTGGTTTTTCTATAATATGATCCTTGAAGAATGCCGAGTGTGTCTGTAGTTCTTCATCAGTGAAGCCAGTCCCAATCTGTAAAAAAATAAGTCTAATCATCTGCAACTATGATACATACATACATATATACAATGATCTATTTAATTGAGAGTAAAGCCCAAGACCAATGGACTGCCAGCCCAGTATGAGAACATCTATGTCGCCATACAAAATGAGATATCTTACCTGGCAACTCCTTCTACACTAACATAAAAAAAAGGAGATGCCTCTTTGGCTATCCTACGTAGCTTACCCTGCAAAGTGTCTGATATTCTTCATTATCTGGATCATAACATGCCAAGAGGAAACCTCCGTAGTGGCCTGCACGTTTGCCCTTTCCCATGTAGCCTCCCAGTACCACAACATCTATTGTATCTCCCACCTGGAAAATGGCAATTCCAAAGATAAAATTAGTAATGCTGGTTTCAAGCTGATAAAATGAATGCCATAAAATGTAATACAAATTTCAAATAATTTTATCAGAGATAGAGACTGAGCACAACAAACCCCATCAAGGTAGTCCTTCTTCAGTTTCAGCCAATTACGTGAACGCTTGGATATCTCATACGTGGCATCAACATCAAGGGTCTTGACCATGAGGCCTTCGCAGTTTCCTGAGGGAGGGTAACAAAACTTTGGAAGAATTTTTCTCTTCAAAGTGCATCTGACCACCTCATGCATGGTCAGGAGTACAGATCATTCATATGTTCTCATGAGTAAATTTTTTCTCACAAACTACAATGCTCACCTTTAATAGATTCCTCCAGGAACTCTTCAATATCTTCAGTGTTTGTGGAGTCCATGCTTTTGGCAAAGACAAACTCTCCTTCGACCTCTTTGAAATGCTCTCTTAAAAGAGCTCTACGCTGCTCAAAAGGTTCGCGCACTAGAGGCTTACCATTCAAGTAGAGCAAGTCAAATGGAAACACACACACTTGTACTTTAATCTCACTTTCACTGGCATTCTGAAAAACATAAAACTGAAGTTAATCCCTCACCTAACGTATGTCCCAGCATACCTTTCTCAACAGCCAATTGAAATTCTTAGCGGACAATGTTCAGCGATAAATTATTGGTTGTAATCAACATCTAATAACTCAACGCTGAGTATCCAGACCTCAGAAAAAACCCAAAAAACACTTGAAGCAACAGGAGATAGATTAGGATATAAGAGCTAACTAAAAAAATAATAGTAAAACTATGCCTAATATATGAGGTTATCCACTAATAAGAGGAATATAAAAATTATTTAATTCTATGACAATAAATATAAGTACTGTACCATACTTACTTTTCTTCTCCGTGTGCTAAGTATTTGGAAGGGAAGGATCTGTTTTTTCTCACGATCCCACGCTACAGCTTCTGAATCAATAACACAAGATTTCACTTCCTCCCCGAGTGCACCTTTGAGTCGTGCAATGATGTCAGGATACTTGGAGGTGTTGTCCTCCTGGTTCCTGCTGTAAATATTTACTGTACCGTCCTCTTTAAGATGGATCTGTAATGATCACAATAGCTACAAAGATGGATTCTCAGTAATAAGGCTAATAAAGTACTTGGGTTCATACAAAGGAGTGTTAGTTACAAGACTAGTGAGGTCATCCTAAAACTGTATCTTGCGCTTGTGAGACCACACCTGGATTACGCAGTTCAGTTCTGGTCACTGTATTACAGAATGGATATAGAATTCTTGGAAAGAATTCAGAGGAGAATGACAAGACTAATCCCGGGCATTAGGAACCTTGAGTAGAGAGACAGGTTAAAGCATCTTAATTTGCACTCCCTCGAGAGACGTAGAGCGAGGGGCGACCTGATAGAGGTGTACAATGGTCCCTCGGTTAACGAGCACAATCCATTCTAGAAGGTTGCTCGTTAACCGAAAAACTCGTTAACCGAAACCATTGTTTCAATGGGTTTTTGGGTAATTGGTTCCAGCTCACCGAAAATTGCCTAAATTCAACAAAAAAGGTAGAAAGGTACACTTACTTTGATGTGTGTATGTAGAAGGCTCCTGGATGATGATGGGGATTAGAATGGGGGTGGAGAAGGGAGAAGAAAAGGCATTGAGGTGGAAGAGAAGTCACCCCATGGTGTCATTTCACCCATAAAATTTTAGTTCTCTTGGTGTAATTCACGATTATTTTCTTTAAATCAACACTGCATTGCATTATATATTGTCAATATGTAAAATAAACTTCAAAATGACCAATAATTTGCTTGTAAACACAGAAAAAAAGCGTTTAGTTGAAGAGTCTCAAGCAGGATGTTACCTCCACTGAAAAGACAAAAAGACTGACGCCTGTATGCTGTGTTGGCAGGCTGGATGGCGTGCCACAAACTAGTGACCCTACCTTCAATTATGTTCAATAATTGTTAAAATGACTAAACAATTTAATATTAAACTTTTAAAATTATGGAAGAGTATAAACTTCTTGATATTTACTAAAAGGGTAAGGAATTTAAGCCCTAGAACCGATTACTGTATTGGCGGACTAATACTACAGCTGGTGGACCGCCAAATGCAAGCTAAAACATGTGGAGGTCGGCTCGTAAGAAACTCATTAATCTTATGGAAGGTAACTCATTAACCGAAATCTTGTTAAACCAGGCGCTCGTTAACCGAGGGACCACTGTATAAGTGGAAGTCAGGGCTAAACAAAGGGGATATTACAAAGGTACTCAAACTATCCAATCAGGAGCGAACTCGTAACAATGGTTTTAAAATAGACAAATTTAGATTTAGGCGTGAAGTAGGTAAACACTGGTTTGGAAACAGAGTAGTGGATGAATGGAACAAGTTACCAAATATCATCATTAACTCGAATACGCTGAATAGCTTCAAACATAGGTTGGATGCTTATATGAGCAATAGGGGTTGGGTATAAATGGGACTGCCCAGTATGGGCCAATAGGCCCGCTGCAGTTTCCTCCATTCTTATGTTCTTAATACAGTGAAATAAAGATCAATATGTAAAATTTCTGCAGTGATGAAGCCCACTTGTTGAAATCTGATTCTTTAATATTACAGATAAACAAATGCTTAATGTGTTTGGCAAAAATTATAGAGAATTCTTCAATAGTATTTTGCTTATTGCCATTGAGGTTCCTATCACTGCTTGAAATGGAAGAGACAAGTTTATCCGATTGAGTAATGACTAAAAAATTTGCCCAATATTTTTCATCCAATGTTTTAAGGTTTAATTAATACCTATGTAGTTTTTCTAAGTGAAAGAGAGAGATGTCCTTTTTATGTGAAATTTCCCATGTCTGTTCAAGAAGAATTAAGATGTACTATTTATGGTAGCTAATTTCATAATAAAATTTCACTCTGTGTTTGATATAAACTTGTAGGTCTCAGCTGGCTTAGTCACAGAGCTTGGCATCAATGACTAAGGCTGCAAACTTCTTTACAAGTAATTTCATACTAAACCTAGAATGAAACCCAAGTGTGATCACAAAATATTACTCAAATCCAATGACCAACTGATAGTCTCATATAGTGTTGAGCCTAAAAGCTATAAATTGAACAGAAAATCTTACTTGCGCCCTTTCTCCATCATATTTATATTCACAGGTGAACTTGGCATTTTCAAAACGTTTCAGAACTTCTGACACCCCAGGGGTCGGGTGTGCCAACATGGGCTTCAGTGGAATGCCTGGTGTCAACTGACATCTATTTGGGAGTTCCTCAAGTCCTTCATTCAAGAGAATTGGGATGATCTCATCATAGGATGGGAATTCACTGCAAAATTTATAAAGCATTATTAAGGCTGATAAGGAGAGATGTGCTGTTATGAAGAATATCATGAGGATACATTAAGACAAGATACTGCTTCTATGGAGGTGAGTTGTGCTCAATTGGTGCCTGAGGAATACCAGAATGACTCGTGTCGAGCAGATCAAAAGGTACAACAGCGTCTAAGAAACGAAATGACAACGGAGAGCAGTGCTATAAATGTGCAGAAAGCATCAACCAAGGGCTTACATATCGAACAGAAATACACAAAGTTGTTAATATTTTCAACTTACATATACAGTATACAAGTGAGTCCTTAGTTATTACTCAATTCACAAGATCTCTTACTAATTCAGCATGCATATCAAAAGTTGTCATGTTGATTCAAGTTTTCATGTTACTAATGCATGTGCAAAACAACACTCAAAATGATCCATCCATATACAGTAATTACCAAAGGGATGACTGACCAACACAAAATCACATTAAACAGCAAGAATCCACAAACAAAACAATATATCTCAATACTCACCAATATGTTGTCTTCAAAATGAATCCATAATTGTCTAATTTTGTCTTCAAATTATCAGGATGAATACCCTTCCCTGCATCAGCAACTTCTGGTGGATACTCTTGGCCAGGTGGAGTTAAGAAGCATGCCTGAGCTATAGCCTGACAACAACGGCATTACAGAGATGAATACTTAACAATCTAAAAGAACATTATTTGTATACAAGAATAGATTAAAGAAATTTCCGACAACCTGGATTATGGTCAACAATTCTTTTTCAAAACATGGTGGTAAAAAAATATATTCTGCAGTCCTACCTTCCTAATATTTAGTCTACTTAATCAGAACAATATTCAAGCTGCCCAGCTGTATATGTCAAGAAGATTGTGCTTGGAACAAACAAATATTCAGAAAACTTCTTCAGTCTTATGAAACATACACTGTACACCTGATTCTTGAAGATCATAACAAAGGGTTTAAACATACACACAAGTATGCTAACACCCATCTAATTCACTCTAAACTAAATTGGACTTCACTTTAATTAATTAGTTTTGGTGATGACACTAAGACCCAGGGCCCAGATTCACTAACGCTGCCGAGATATGAAGTTAGTAAGTTCCGGGAGTTCTGAAGTCCATACGAAATATCGCAAACTCGATTCACTAAAGGTTCATAACTGAGCTGTGGTGATCGTACGAACTCTATAAATAGTTCTTAAAATGCTGACAGGTGGCGGTGGTGTGTCTCCTCTTGGCCAATCACTGCGACTGATACATAACTCGGTAGAAGACGTAAACCAATCATGTAATAACAAAATTAGATCCCGCAGGGTGCACTTGTTGAACTCGTGAATACTTATGATAACCTCAACATCCACCTTTATCTGAACAACGAAAACTATATCAACACAGTAAGCACCAAAAACATGAAGAATAAGTTAAGTTATTCACAGTTTTAGGATTTTTAGAAATTGGGTAAAGTTTATAAAGGTTTCTTTGGTGTTCTTTATAGTATTTTACCACATATTTTCCCTCTTCTTCAAGCCCTGCCCACTTTGAGCAACCAATATTATAGGTAATTGGAAGTAACAAAACATTATGTACTGCTGTACACTGCTAAAACATTGATCAAATATCCCTTATGTTGTATTGCATTTCTAGATATATGGTACATTTTACACACTGCTGGATGGGTTAAAACACTTGTTTCTTATCATTTTCCAATGTCATTACTGAAAGCGAAATTTCTCAGTAAATCTCATGGTCACCAAACGTAACCAACTGTATTATACCATAAACGCCTTAGATGAGCTGGAACCTAGGTTGTTAAATAGTTTCCTACTCCTGATTAGATATCACATAAAGGTTGCTCTCATATCTGTGGTAAGAACCTTGGCAGCCTTACCTAACCTTGGCTTTCAATCTTCCTAGTTTACAATGACTTTCATGACAGTCTTGATCCACTTTGTAATTTTAATCATGTATTTATAGGTAATAGCACTCTGTGATAATGCATATACAAGCACTCAGATAAGCAATTGTTTACTATTGGTATGCTTTACCAAGTAATATATTAAAATCTGTTTTTATTTTTTAGGAGGACCAAGTGGTGTACCACCCCTGACTGCACCAGAAGAGGCAATGATTGGTTAAATTAGTGATGTTACCATTCAGGGATGTTTGTTTTAGAAGAAGAGTACAGTAATTTATTTTCCAATTGTAGCCTCGGAGGTGGAAGGTCAGGTTAGCCAGTTGCGAGCATGATGAAATTGACACATTGGTAAAACTGCATCAGGAAGAATTACCATATAAATTTACTGTTAATTTAGGTTAGGTTAAATTAGATTCTGTGCAGAGGTAGCAACAAATGCCTTACAAGAACTTGAGTAGATGGCCTCAGCAAGGTTTGTTTTACCTCCTTTTATTACATACAATTCAAATACACTAAGTCCTCGCTTAACGTCGGCCCGATTAAAGTTGTTTCGGTACTACGTCGCTAAACTTTAGAGACCAAAAATTCATTTAACGTCCCAGTGACGCAGTCCAACGTCGTTTTGCGTTGTCATGGACTACCTTTTACGGCGCATCACCCTATCTCATCTGGCCGTGGAACGTCACAGCATCCCCAAGCGACGCCAGTTTTTGTTAGGCTTCCATAGTGTTCGTGAGTGTTTAAGTGTTTTTGCTCTTAATACTGTACTGTAACCATTCAAAATGTCTTCCAAGCACCCATCAAGTGCTACTGATGCTAGTGTTGTGAAGAAGCAATGTAAGACCATTAGCCTTGCTACGAAAATGGAGGTTTTAAACAGTTTTGAGAGAGAGGAGGAGCTACCCGCCGGGTCTCAGTGAATCACCACCCTCCTGCCATCCACCTCCAGCACTTCAGTACCCAACACACACTCGCTCTACCACCTCCGCCCATTGGTGAGTACCAATACCAACTTAATAGTTGGATATGCATGCACTGTTTTCTATAGAAATGGCAATGATTTTCTGTACATGCAATGTACAGTATTTCATGGGGCAAAGGGAAGGCTCAGGAACGTAACTCCAGTAATTTATCTATCTCTTAAGGGGAAAATTTATCCGCTTAACGTTGTTTCATATAACGTCGCGCTTTCAGGAATGTAACCCCGACATTAAGCGAGGATTTACTGGATGCATAAATTATTGTCTATTTTGAGGTTTTTATATTTTCTTTTGCCATTACCTTGCAACTGTTATTTTAATCATGTACAGTAATGAGAATCTTAGGGTAGCTACAGTATTTTCTTTATCAATTATTATCGGCTATTGTAAAGTGCGTATTTTTTTTTATCTTGTGATTCAGTACAGTCGGAGGAAAGAAAAAATAATATTTATTTTTATCACAAAATTTTCCTGTGTACCAACTTATTAAAACAATAAAAGTGGTAAACTTCATTTTAGTTCATTGTCCCTTTACTTCTTAGTAGTTTTTATGTGAAATGTTTCAAAGGTATCTTATATACATCTTCTTCTGAAAACTGCAAGTTTCAAAGTAAAAATCTGAAAGAAGGCCATTGGCCAAGTATCCAAGAAGTACCCATGACTCCTACCTGTGTGCCAACAGTAATCTACAAAGGTTCTTTGGTAATGGATAAGTGATTTACAGCCAAAATGTTCATAGTTAAATATTACTTAACTCAATCTAAGTTCATCAAACCATTAGAAAAGGGGGTAAAAATTATGTGGTATAGCACTTTTTCTTAGAAAAGAATTATGTTCATAGGTTTTTTATCTGATACATTCAGTAGTGATGTTTTTTCGCTGCAAAATTAATGAAATGTATCTTACCCATAACATAACCTAACCTTACTTATCCTAACCTAACCTTACTTTGCCTACCTAACCCAAGAAAGTCAGAACGCACATGGCAAACAATTAAGTTCTTTAGAAAAATTGAAATTACTTTAAAAAATACGTTTGCAGATAATTTTTTTTTATCATCATTTCTCCAATATACAGTCGACCCTTGTTAATTCGGACCCCATTAATCCGGATTTCGGATAATTCGGACAAAATCTGAACGAACTTTTTTTTTTTTTTTTAGATTTGTAGGAATATTACCGACTTGGACCTTAAGCTAAAATGCTGGTCCACCCACTGCTGGGATAAAATACCAGCGTCTTTTTGGTTAAATTTAACATCTCCACCACTAGAGTGGGGGGGGGGAGGGGGAGATGCAACGTTTAGCTTCAGACATGAAAAATATTTACCATTTACTGCCAGTAAACAATGGAAACGTAAAATATGTACCAATTAGTAATGAAAAGTTGTGCAGTTCCTTCAGCAAATGAAGCTCACCAACTTACAATAGGCTAAATTACCTTACAACGTGTTTTCAGTAGTTTATGTTGAAGTTCTCAGCACAGGCTAACTTAACATATCATATACGGTATAACAGTTCTCATTGATCTACAAAAAATACCGGTAATAAAAACGTTTTTGATATTTCACACTTAATATAATACCCGGTAATCTACTTCAACCTCCTATTGTATACAACGACACATGACGCACCACCAGCTGTTGAGTATCAGCTAGACGGCACACGTGTTTTTCGAATCGTTTTCAGTTAAAAGACGGTTACATCACATGTATATTTTACCTTAACTGTGCCTGAATGAATATATTCTCGGAAATATAGAAGTAGTTTTGCTGAAACGTGATGTATTTTAATGTAAAATAGGATAAAATACATGACGAAAACAAAAGATTTTACCTAACCTTCCGATGTTCAAGAGAAGTTACTCGTTTTTTTAAATAGTTTTTGGTTAAAATACTGTTATATTACAATGGTATTCTATTCATACTGTGCTTGATATAATGCATTCATGGAAATGTAATATTTTTGCTGAAATGACGTACGTATTACAGTGGAAAAAGGGATAAAATCGTGACGAAAACAATGACTTTCGCTTTCTTTCGTTCAAAAGATGTTACCATAATCACTTTTCGATTGGTTTTCAGTTAAAAAACTGTTGTATTACAATAATATTCTATCCTAATTGACTTGAATAAATACTACGATACCATATTTCTGAATATTTTCATTAAAATCCATCCAAATCATTTTCCTTGTCATCATCTGCAGCACCAAACAGCTTCTCCCAGTTCTCTCCTTGAACAGGGCTAGAGGGTACGTGTTTTTCGAATCGTTTCCAGTTAAAAAACTGTTACATCACACGTATATTTTACCTAAACTGCGCCTGAATGAATATATTCTTGGAAATAAATACGTAGTAGTTTTGCTGAAACATGATGTATTTCAATGTAAAATAGGATAAAATACATGACGAAAACAAAAGACTTTACCTAAGCTTCCGATGTTCTTGAGATGTTATTCGTTTTTTTAACTAGTTTTCGGTTAAAATCCTGTTATATTACAATGATATTCTATTCATACTGTGCTTGATATAATACATTCACGGAAATGTAATATTTTTGCTGAAATGACGTACGTATTACAGTGGAAAGTGGGATAAAATCGTGACGAAAACAATGACTTTGAAATATAATGCAATATTAACCCCTAAATCGGTTAATTCGGACAATCGGCTAAAACGGACACCCTTCCCCCCTTATTAGTCCGAATTAATAAGGGTCGACTGTATCTATAAATCTGTTGATGATAAACTATATAAACGTAGCACAGGATACCACTATTATGCATTTTAACCTTTGACTATCTCTGCGAATGCACTATATAAAAATGGAAATTTAGGTTAAGTACGGTAAGGTAAGTTTAGGTTAAGTTAGGCAAGACATGTTAAGGTTAGGTTAGGTAATGTTAGGTTACGTTAGGTTATGTTAGGGTAAGGTACATTTCAATAATTTTGCGGCAAAAAAAAAAAGTACAGATTGTATTAAATCAAGAACCAAAGAAAAAGTATATTTTGTAAGAAAAAATGTGATGACACTGTTCTACAATCTCTCTCTCGAGAGAGAGAGGATTGTTTTGGCTTCAGGTTAACCATTGTCTTAAAACTCAAATCATTATTCTATCTGTAATGACATGTGATGTATGTCTAGCAGCTGTGTGTGTTTTGGTATGGGTTGTATAGTAGAGAAAACAGCCTTATTTCCGCCTTACAATAGCTTATGAGGTCTCAAAAGTCACCATAATTTACAAAGGAAAGTCAGCCATTTTAAATCGAGCTGTGGACCTCGTAAGTCTTTAGTGAATCACCACCCGAAGAGTTTATGAACTTTTAAGCATATACGATGTCCAAATCACATCACAGTTGTTGACATCTAAAAAGCTTCCTACAAGGATAATTTGGAAACTCTGGGTACAATAATTTGACATGGGTAGAGCCCCAAGGCTGTTAAATTAGAGGGGTTTGAGCGTATTACAAAATGACTTGAGTTTTGCTTACCTGCAGTACAGACTGCTCGGCCAGGCCAATGCGCAACTTTCCACCAAGGGAGCGAATGAGATATCTTGCCTCAGAGAAACGACAGGCTACAAACATACCTTTAACTTTGTCTACTTTCTTGCTTCGTGACTGAAATAAGAGCAATATGTTAGAAACTCTGACAAATTTAAGGATGAAAAATAGTATCAACGATCTGGTAATTCCATCAATGACAGACAAATTGATAAAATGATTAAAAGCTTTCTAAAATCAGTCTTTTCGTGCAGTCTGTAAGCTGCTACCTGACAGCATGACATATTGTACCTATGACTACAGTTAGTAAATAAAAAATTGGTATACCCGTAATGTACCTCAAAAAAGTGGTAAAATGAATTTTCCAAGTTCTACTGCAAGCAAAATGAAAGAATAAGTCACCTCTTATGCCGAGTCTGATAGTACTGTACTGTACTCCTCTCTCATCAGTAAAGAATATTGCTAAATAGGTCCAGTAAAGCTAATTTAAGGCTCAAACATTCTCCCTTACAAGTTAAAACATACAAGTAAACACACATAAAACATCATCAACTTAAATACAACAAAAAAGTTACATACTGCATTGCCGGTCATGAGAGCAATGTCTTTCAGCTTGTCAAACACCGCTCGGACAGTCAACTTGGCCGGCTGGAACATTATCCTCTGGTTGGACCGTGATTGTTCTGCCACAATTCCAAGATCTCCTTTTTGCTCTGCGTCCAGCTTTATCTTCTCCATACTCCGTCCTGACGCCTGAGCTATGGCGCTCATCAAGATTGTCTCTCCGATGCCCAACTCAACGCCTAATAAAAGGTAAATTACAAAAAATCTGTTAAACAAAGTTGTTTTCTTGAAAGCTAGAAATACAGTCAATTAAATAACTATCAGAACACATGAAGAATATCGACCCCAGATTATATCACAAAGACTAAGCACCCTAATGCTATCTGGGACGATGGTATTAGGTTAGGTTTGTGTTAGGATGCTTATTTTTCAGGTGAAAGAAGCTGGGGTGGGGATTCTTCAGGTGATCCTAACTATCTATTATTACACAGTTTACTGATAGGGTTTCCTCCAATGAACTTATAAAGAATGAAAAAAAACAAAAAAACAATACTGTACCTTCAAAAGCAGGAGCCACTTTGTTGAGACACAGGTACACACAATGCAGGAGGTCATCAGGTGATAACACTATTACTGAGCGGAATAAATTAGCCAGAATTTCAATTGTCTTGAGTCGGCCGCTTGTCTTCTCAATCAGTTCCATTGTTTTGGCCAAGGCAAGATAAGGCACTCTGTCAAATAGTGAAAGGTTCAGTAAATGGATTTAAGTGTCAACAACATAACAGGCATAACACTTGACCTATCTTTAGAGACATGACCAACAGGCAGTCTCTGATCTAATAAAGGGGTCCATTCCAGGAAAACCTTTAGTAAACTGATTTTCTGGAAATATAAAAACATTTTACCAAGGTCTCCCATTATAAACTCGAAGATACATAGATGGCTATAAGGAAAATGCACCCCCAAAAACATGTTTTTAATTAATATTTTTGGGTGATAATTACAATACTGTATAGGCTAATAATTTAACTACCGTACTGTACAGTACTGTATCTTTATAAACTGACCACGTCCAGTATGGGAAACCCTGAGTTGCCTGTGTCAGCACCTCAACATCTTCCAAAGCTGTGAAAAATTATGGGGGAGGGGGATTATAATTCTGAAATTTTTTTATTTACATAAATCAAAACTTGGGATTTTCTCATAACTTTAAACTTTTGTAAACTGGATCTTTGAAAATTGGGGATTGTCAGTATTCTCTTCTTTATTCACCCCCAACCACTCCACTCAAATAATGTACAGTACCAAGAACCATGAGATATTCTCTTTGTAGAGGTTTTGTACATTAAATTACAATAAACTACAAAAATTACAAAAAACAGTGACTCTTACTTTTCATTGCGTTTCCAGAAGGCATCTGTGATTGGATGATATTTACTCTTGGCCGGGTTATAGCTGGCACCCATATCATCAGCACCAGCAGGCTTGGGAGCAAAGGGATTTATCACCGGTTTCTTTGCCATACTTGAAGCTTTTGAGGAATCTTTGCCAGGTGACGACTCATTCTTTTGAGACTTATCTTTCTTCCGTGGAGACGAGTCATTTTCTTCTTCTGATGCCTCGTCCTCCTCCACACAACTCTTAGTGGTCAGGGATGTATCATTTTGTTTTGCTGGTCTGGGAGCTGTTAAAATAATACAACAGGATATTTAAAATTTAAAGTTATTTCACTTGTAAATAATGCCAATTACAGTACAAGATGGTTGCCACATCACCATTCAAAGTGACTTAAGGTAACATGCATCCATTCTATCACTGCTGACTTCCTGTATGTTACCCACACAGACACTCCAACCTCACTTACTGGTGCTTTACATAATGAAAATCTACATTTTCATCTTCCTCATTCTCTTCTCATCATCAAACCAAGAGAAAAATACAGAAGTTCATTATTTACTGATAAGCTGAAAGTGCTGGGCAGGAACGAGACGGGCAGCTTAGTCCATACGTTTTGTTACCAATTCAGGATAAGAACAAGAGCATGAATAAACAGTGTGGTTATGCATTGAAACTTGAGGACTCTGGAGAAGGCACAGTGAAGAGAGCATTGAAGTGTCCTTTTTTGGCAGTCAGAAAATGATACTTACCAAAAAAACTGTGGATAGCTTTGGGTTTAAGCCTGCCCTGTGCGGCCTTCTCTTTAGTTTTGACTGGACTCTCTTTATTTTCAACAGCATCATCACAATTGTCAACCTCCATTGATTCTTTTACATCCTTTTGTTTTTTGTTCTCTAAGTTCTCCTCCTCATCTTTCTCCAATTCCGAGTCCTCATCTCCAGTGCCTTCCTTGTTTGATGTACTGGATGTCTCATTGTCTCCTTTCAGCCTCTTTACCATCTCTGTTTGTTTACTCTCCAGACTGTCACTCTTACGTTTCATCTGTTTACGAGCTGAAATATTAAGAAAGGATTTATTTTAAATAATTTCAAGAGACCTTTCATCACTATGGAGCAACTACATATTCCAATAATATCTACACAAAACTTCAAGAAAATACCATCCTGAATGTGTAGGTTGATACTCAAGCTTATACACCAAAACAACTTTAACAGAACATTTATCATTCGAAAGCTTAAAGAACTGAATTAATCCTCAAGCAAATTTCATGCAGAGTCAAACTTACCTGTTTTTCTGATGGGTGGAACAGTTTCTGGTGTGAATCCCGGAGACCTCTTCAACGATGAAGTGGATGATTTCTCTGGGGTGGTAACAGTACTGAACTTTGATGAACCAGGAGTTGGTTCATTCTTACTTTCCTTCATTTCATTTTCTTTCTTTTCTGTACTAGCATCTTCCTTTATCTCATCTTCTTGGTCTTCCTGCATTTTATTGTCTGTCTTTGTATCTTCATCACTACCTTCCGTCTCCATCTCTTCTTCGTCTTCTGCTGCCGAGTTCTTTTCTGACCCTGTACTCTTATCATCTTTTGTATCTGTGTCCCGGGCCTCGTCATCTGATTCTTTTAACTCCGTCTCCTCCAAGTTCTTGTTCTCATCTTCAACCTTGTTCTTCTTTTGGCTGGGTCTTGGGACTGGGATCTTCTTTCGTTTTGTTTGTTTCTTCTTTTCTTTGTTTGCATTTACTCCCTTCTTTGTTGTAAGACTTTTCTTCATGGCAGTCTTTTTTTTCTTAGTATTAACATCTTTCTTTGTAGAAGGACTACCGTTGGATTGTTTTGTACTCTGATCCTTCACATTCTCCTCCTCCTTGTTTGTGCTTGTCTCTTGGCTGGTCTTGGTCATATTTTCTTTTTCTTCATCAGATTTATGAGGTGAAGAACTGGAACAAAACACAGAGGTTAAAAATAATGGGAAGGGGGGGGGGGATGTGTAAACTGAACAGGATATCACTGAATCACTAACTAAATCACAGAGTACAGTACAGTATAACTACCAGGTATATCAATATACAGTACATAAAGTACAGTAAATAATCTAGATCATCTTATTTTCTTATTTATTTTTGGCATTCAGTGACATGCAATTTTCACTAAATTAATACAGAAAGATGGGCATTAAAAATATTATTATTTTATGAAGAAGGATAAACTTTAATGGATGTGTAGAGGGAGAGGTAGAAGCATTAAAACCCATAGAATGATCAGTATATGCCAGAAAGGTAGAAGCTAATGCCATAAAACATAAATTACATTACAGTAATGGGGGTGCTGGTGGTAGAGTGGTACCGCTCTTGCCTTCGCAAGCGAGATGTCACGGGTTCGATTCCCGGGCCGGTGGAAGTTGTTTGGACATACTTCCTAGCCCCCATTAGTCCCTGTTCACCTAGCAGTAAAGTAGGTACCTGGTGTAAATCGAAAGTTGCGAATTCGTATTCAGGGACAAGTTGTTGGAGCTTCCAATAACTTGATGACATAAAAACCATTGACTCTTCAGGATTCTATGCCCTTGACTCTTCAGGCTTCTACGCCCTTAACTCATGAGACATAAAGGCAAGCATGAACTTAGCATGCTTCCCTGTTGGGCACTGTAAACGCTTCTGTGCTTCACCTTACACAAGGATGTAGGGGAGTGCCCAATAAAAAAATAAAAAAAAATAAAAAAAAATTACAGTAATCTCTCTGTTAGCCAGATTCTTTAATCCTGGAACTCCCCATTACCCGAATTTATTTTATATTTTAGTATTCCGAAAAATTATGAGAAAAATGTCTCTATTCCGGGCATGGGAACGAATTTGCATGGGTGGGTAAGCTCAGAGTGCTCATGAGCTACAAATGGCTACTAACTGTCATGTGAGTGCATGGGCTGCCTATGATTGGCTGATGAATCTCGCACTCGTGACTGACCCCCTAAACAGCTAGTAAGCTAATCGGTGTTAAAGAGGGCAAAGTTAAGTAATACGACCATCTCACTCACATAATGGTCCATCTTTTTCACTATTCCTTACAGCACACATTGCCACTAAACATTTTTTATGTCACAATGAAATATGCTTTACAGTACATACCTTGTAGAGGGAACTTGTTCCCCCTCCTCCTCGCTATCGCTCTCAATTACCCGGGCTTTATGACGAGGCGTTTTTTTCACAGGAGAATCGTCTTCCTCTGTATAGTCGTTCCTGTAAGGATGGAACATTAGATGATACTAACAGGAAAACATTATAAACTTCTGCTCAATCACTCACAATAGAGGTATGAGAGAATAGTTCATGATCACTTGAATTTTACAGCAAAAATTTTTTTATTATGACAACCGTTTATCAACACATATTATGAAGAAAAAAGTAACTGCCGGAATATGCAATCACATGGATTCCAGGTAGCTGGTTTACCTAAATTTTATTCCTTACTTTTTCATGACATTATTGAATGTATTGCCAATCAACAACATAACAATAAGAGGAACCATGAAGTCTGGTTCCCTCTTATCTCTAATGCCTCTCAACAAGACGGTCAAATGGTGAGATTACAAACAAACACCTACAGCATTTATATACAGTACTCAAATTACATAAATTGTGACTGACTGATAATTTAAAAACTAAAATTCAGAGCATAAAATGACATGCACAATTTCCAGTAAATATTTCCTCCATTTCAATTATATACCACATATATTGTGTACAGAAGCTCTTTATTCAGTACAGTACATATCATACTGAAGTCTTTATTGTACACTCAAGCCAAGTAAAGTATTGTCTAAGTTATTATCTTCCATAACTCTTTAAAATCAAAAGTACAGGAGCTCATAATACAATACAATGTAGAAATAAAAGTTTAAAACTAACTTTGTATTTTTATTTTCTCCTTGTGAGCTTCCTCCAGATGCTCCTTCATCTGGCTTTTTCACCTTAGGGGCCGAGAAAAATGACCTGTAGGAAAGAAAAGACATTAATTTAGTTTGACAATAACAAAAGTATAATGATGACAATTGAGCCCACAAAAGATCATCTACTGGTATTAACCCTCATATGGTCTTTTGATGCAAATTGCATCGCTAAGCACTGCTATGCTGGTGAATCTTCTCCTGCTCAGCCAGCCATAACTCACACTGAGAGCCCCCCCCATAAGCTGAAATGCAGGAACAGTGGATTGGCCCCATCAACCACCAAGTTCCTCCCACTAGCCTTGTGGGCTGGCAGATGCATCTCTTGGGGTGCAATTTGGTCTGGATCGTTCTACCCAATGTTTAATAAAATGGAAAAACCGTTCCTGTTCTCAACGCAACCTGCGTCAAAAGAATGTGAGAGAGGGAGATATTTCTGACCCTGGCCAAGAGTACCAGAGGGTTATTGTGACAAAATCTGAAGCACCTTTGTACAATTCTTGATTCTGTGCTCTTCTTAAATACAGTATCACCAACCTCTGAACAATGTTCAATTATCAACCCGTAATAGTGGAGGAGATTGTTAACACCAGAAGGAATTTAAACAAATGGTTCATTTTTTCCAAAGATGTTGTTTGGATGATAGTTCATAATATAAACGATACACAACTTTTTCCTTTAAAGTGATAAACGTCTTATGGCAGAAATTTAACATCTAAGTGCTTTGTAGGAGAGGAAATAAATTATGGCAATTTCACATCTCCAGTTGCTGAACTATTGATTGCAAAGATAAAATTCTTGAGATTCGGTTGGAGGCAATTTATACAAATTTACCATTAGGTCAGGTTACGTTAGGTTCTGTGCATTTTCGTATTGATTTTCTTATCATACTGGATGCAGGTGCAGCAGCCATATTGACGGACTGTGTGGTTAATGGTATGAGAGAATCACACATGAGCAAAATGCGGTACGGTTAGGTTAGGTTAGGTTAGCATTAGGCTGCTGTACCAATAGACAATAAAGTATGTCTATTAAGACATTTTTTGGGGGTAAATTTTCATTTTGGTGTTCTTTAATTGACTTAACTTAATCTAAAAAAGAATCCTATGTTAGTGATAATGGTAAAAAATCGGAAATATCCATTGAGATAAAAAGGAATATTAACCCATAAGGCGGGTCCGACTAATTACCCAAATGTACCCAAATATAGCCGGAATGAAGTCAAATAATGGTCCTAGATGAATAAATCGGACTGCCAATCACTTCTCGACGAGTATATGGTGTCAGAAAGTCACAAAAAATTGGAAAACTTACTTTAATCTGAGTTAATAGATCGCGTGCATGTACCGACGGAGCGAGGAATTACCCAAATGTAGTCGCAATGAAGTCAAATAATGGTCCTAGATGAATAAATCGGACTGTGAATCACTTCTCGACTAGTATTTGGTGTCACAAAGTCACAAAAAATTGGTAAACTTAATTTAATCTGAGTTAATAGATCGAGTGCATGTACCTAACCTAACCTAACCTCGACTAGTATTTGGTGTCACGAAGTCACAAAAAATTGGGAAACTTAATTTAATCTGAGTTAATAGATCAAGTGCATGTACCTAACCTAACCTAACCCAACTCAGATTAAATTAAGTTTACCAATTTTTTGTGACTTTCTGACACCAAATACTAGTCGAGAAGTGATTGGCAGTCCGATTTATTCATCTAGGACCATTATTTGACTTCATTCCGGCTATATTTGGGTACATGTGGGTAATTAGTCGGACCGCATAAGGCTGCTGTACCAATACACATGTATTCGCAAATGGTTGCCAGTATTAATCTTGTGCATTTAGTTAGTTAGAACCATGCAAATAACATCTCTGGAATTTTCGCTCCAATCTATAAACTCCTGGTGTTAACCGTCTCCTCCACCATTAACATTAACCCCAGCATATAACTTAACTCGACGAACCCATCATTTAATCAGCAATTCACCGGTTTATGCTTTTCTATATACAGATACTTGCTAGTTTGTCAAAGTTGTAACTTACATTAAGCCCATACCTAGATTTGAACCCAAGAACATTCCCTATCACCCAAGAACTTGAGCTTTTCTTTTTCAGATATAACTGTTGACTAACTACACTTGACGGCGTTCTTATTATCAGTTCTGGAATACAAGATGCTAACACTGAGATACACTTACAGTATGGTCTTCTGCACCATCCTCACAGCTAAGTCACTAACACTGAGATACACTTACAGTATTGTCTTCTGCACCATCCTCACAGCTAAGTCACTAACACTGAGATACACTTACAGTATTGTCTTCTGCACCATCCTCACAGCTAAGTCACTAACACTGAGATACACTTACAGTATGGTCTTCTGCACCATCCTCACAGCTAAGTCACTAACACTGAGATACACTTACAGTATGGTCTTCTGCACCATCCTCACAGCTAAGTCACTAACACTGAGATACACTATGGTCTTCTGCACCATCCTCACAGCTAAGTCACTAACACTGAGATACACTTACAGTATGGTCTTCTGCACCATACACTTACAGTATGGTCTTCTGCACCATCCTCACAGCTAAGTCACTAACACTGAGATACACTTACAGTATGGTCTTCTGCACCATCCTCACAGCTAAGTCACTAACACTGAGATACACTTACAGTATGGTCTTCTGCACCATCCTCACAGCTAAGTCACTAACACTGAGATACACTTACAGTATGGTCTTCTGCACCATCCTCACAGCTAAGTCACTAACACTGAGATACACTAAGTCACTAACACTGAGATACACTTACAGTATTGTCTTCTGCACCATCCTCACAGCTAAGTCACTAACACTGAGATACACTTACAGTATGGTCTTCTGCACCATCCTCACAGCTAAGTCACTAACACTGAGATACACTTACAGTATGGTCTTCTGCACCATCCTCACAGCTAAGTCACTAACACTGAGATACACTTACAGTATGGTCTTCTGCACCATCCTCACAGCTAAGTCACTAACACTGAGATACACTTACAGTATGGTCTTCTGCACCATCCTCACAGCTAAGTCACTAACACTGAGATACACTTACAGTATGGTCTTCTGCACCATCCTCACAGCTAAGTCACTAACACTGAGATACACTTACAGTATGGTCTTCTGCACCATCCTCACAGCTAAGTCACTAACACTGAGATACACTTACAGTATGGTCTTCTGCACCATCCTCACAGCTAAGTCACTAACACTGAGATACACTTACAGTATGGTCTTCTGCACCATCCTCACAGCTAAGTCACTAACACTGAGATACACTTACAGTATGGTCTTCTGCACCATCCTCACAGCTAAGTCACTAACACTGAGATACACTTACAGTATGGTCTTCTGCACCATCCTCACAGCTAAGTCACTAACACTGAGATACACTTACAGTATGGTCTTCTGCACCATCCTCACAGCTAAGTCACTAACACTGAGATACACTTACAGTATGGTCTTCTGCACCATCCTCACAGCTAAGTCACTAACACTGAGATACACTTACAGTATGGTCTTCTGCACCATCCTCACAGCTAAGTCACTAACACTGAGATACACTTACAGTATGGTCTTCTGCACCATCCTCACAGCTAAGTCACTAACACTGAGATACACTTACAGTATGGTCTTCTGCACCATCCTCACAGCTAAGGCACTAACACTGAGATACACTTACAGTATGGTCTTCTGCACCATCCTCACAGCTAAGTCACTCAGCTTTTTCCCGCGAAACTTGGTAAACAAACAAGTGGCGCCATCTATGCTGTAACACCTCACTGGACGCGGCTTTTATAACTTTTAATTTTGTTGGACTAGAGTATTACTAACATTTTTATGCGCTTAAAGACCTTCATTGTTGAAGTGCAGTGATAACATTATAACAATAACAACAACTGCAGTTGGTTCATAGTACCTGAACCCGACAACCATGAATCCTGCACCTGCCCCTCAAACCCGAGCTCTTGTAGTGGGTTCCTCCCCTACAACCGCTGCTTGTCGTTGAGTAGCCCACCCCTCGTGGTCTAGGTCAACCAGCGCCGCCTTACATGACGGAGGTCAACTATTAAGCCACGCCTACCTCCGCTATATAAGACCTGACCTCGTGGTGACCTACCTCTCTTTTCTACCTACACCAACCAGCAAGCAACACCTCCTCCTCCGCCGCTGCCTGGCGGTCCTCGCTCCCGCCGGCGACCATGGCGATCCACAAGCTGTCCTCCTCTGAGCACCCTCACCAACCAGCTCTCTCTACATCACGCTTGTAACCACGCTGCCACTTCCCAGCACCAAGCTGCACTGTACATCCAATACAATATGTATACAGAGAGCGCATTGTGAGTTTCCTTTCTCCATCCCATCCTGAGTGTGAACAAAACAACCCGTTCCCCACACTCTTGAACCACGAATCCCCTTTGTGAAATATAACGAGTTCTTAATTTGGTACAATTATATGACCTGTCACTGGCTAGCAGCCAAAATATCTGTACCTGCAAGTGTTGGAGCAAGTACGTGTCCAGTACTTGCCAACAGTGCCTAACAGAGATTGAGACCCACTGCCCAAGCGGCTAAAAGGCGTATCAGTGGCGAAGAGGAGAAAGTATATAAACGCGGTTCCTGCTCCTAGCTGTATTTATTAAAATTTACGTGATTATAATATTGTCAGAAAGCCAAGGAACTTCGTATTTTCTTTTCGATTAAGATTTTTATACCCAAAGCACAGCAGAACCAAGTCTCTCAAGAGAACTTAATGTACTGTAATGAGTTTTATCAAAGTTTAGGGTAAACTTATTACACATAATCCAGCGTCTTATTTTTTTATGTATTTTTTTTTATTGGGCACCCCCCTACATCCTTGTGTAAGGTTAAGCGCAAAAGCGTTTACAGCGCCCAACAGGGAAGCATGCTAAGTTCATGATAGCCTTTATGTCTCATGAGTTAAGGGTTTATTAACCATGAGCGATAGAAAACGGGGATCTGAAGGGCTGTCTCGTACTGGAGTACAGTGATCGAGAAGTCCCCATATGCCTGCATTATTAACAACATACCTATAGTTAATTTCCTTGTTATAATTACCAAAACTATTGGGAATGGTGATAATATTGTTAATTACTGAATAGGTGCACAGGCAAATTTTGAACACCCTGTACAACAAAAATACCACACCAACCATGGAGACTCGTGGACCACCAGATATAATGGTCGAGGATGTAAATCTATCACAAGTGAGTTTGATGATGACGAAGTCCACCTAAGGCAACTTGAATAGACTCAGATTTAACACATGAACTTGAATAGAGTGGAATTGGCATGGTAAGGAATGACGTGTGCTGTGACCAAGATTGAAGAGAAGTGAGTAATAGACTGGATTTCGTTGACAAATTGTGAAATAACGAAAGAAAGGATAACGTAATGAAACAGATCGTCAGAAGTGGAGAGGAGTGGAGGAAGTGTCTCAGTAGTGCCGGTGAATCTGGGTCCTGGGACGCTGGGCACCGTCATGGTCGCGCGCGGGAAGACTAGAGGCAGACAACAACTGTACCCACTTGTAATTAATTAACGAACTGCATATTAAATAAACAGAATCTTATATCTTAAACAGGAAAACAGAGACAATTATGTAGGATAAAATATTAAACACGTAAAATCAAAATTAAAAATTCAGGAAAAATAATCACTTCAACTCCAGTATATCAAGTTCATGTAATCGATATTGTGAAAACGGACGTGAGCAGCGAGCACCATAATTCAGGCTGTTACAGGCAAGGGTCTACAGACTACCTAGACCTTGGTTATACGTAACAACTAAGTGTTGTGTAAGACTGACATGCATTCGGCACCTTGGAGACAGAGTTAATGATATTCAGTGAAGCGTTCAGCTGTATTATGATCACGACTACTGGTGACTGTGATCCCAAACAACTTCAATAATGAGGAATATTTAACCATTACAATGTGGAGTTTTGATCCCTTGCACACGTTGCTAAGGCAGGAGGAGGAGGAAGGGAAGCAGGTGGAAGAGAGGGAGTAAGGGGGAAGTTGGAAGTTAGAGGAGGGAAGACGTGCCTACATTAAGTGAGAGAGAGAGAGCCTCATTAATGCGGTGAGGTTGGCACTGGTGTGGCAAGGTGGCACTCAATATCTCCTACCAGGCGTTGTTACCTTGGGAACATTACCACCAGACTGTCATCATCACTATACACTGTACGTTCCTTCACTCTTCAGATTAACATAGTAATTATCGGATTAGCTCAAGATAAGCTCCCTCTCCCCTGCTTATTTCATCCTAAGATTAACCAAACGGAGGGCAGTGTGTGGTTGTGGTTTGGGAGAGTGTGGTGGTGGTGAGGGAAACTGTGGTGGTGGTGAGGGAAACTGGTGGTGGTGAGGGAAACTGTGGTGGTGGTGAGGGAAACTGGTGGTGGTGAGGGAAACTGTGGTGGTGGTGAGGGAAACTGTGGTGGTGGTGTGGTGGGTGGTGAGGAGAGTGTGGTGGTGGTGAGGGAAACTGTGGTGGTGGTGAGGAAACTGTGATGGTGGTGAGGGAACTGTGGTGGTGGTGAGGGAGAGTGTGGTTGTGGTTTGGGAGAGTGTGGTGGTGAGGGAAACTGTGGTGGTGGTGAGGGAAACTGTGGTGGTGGTGGTGAGGAGAGTGTGGTGGTGGTGAGATGAGTGTGGTGGTGGTAAGGGAGAGTGTGGTAGTGGTGAGGAGAGTGTGGTGGTGGTGAGGAAGAGTGTGGTAGTGGTGGTGGTGGTGAGTGCAGAGATTTATAAAGTTTAAATGGTAGATATGGGAAAGTTGTCTTAAAAGTACTGGAGAGATTCTTAATGAGTCGTTTGTGTGTGTGTGTGTGTGTGTGTGTCCTTGTGCGTGTGTGTTAATAGGAGAATCTGGACGTATTGTACTCAATTTGTAATTTGGAACACACACACACACACACACACACACACACACACACACACAGATCGTGTTTTGTTTACATACCAACTTTGGTCAGAATCGACTGTCATTTGTTTGAGTTGTATTTACAATTCACGGACGCACGGAGAGGTAAATATATACAGTAGTCATATGTCTCTCTTGGCCTGAGGAAGATAACATCCCAACACCCAAGACGGAGAGAGAGAGAGAGAGAGAGAGAGAGAGAGAGAGAGAGAGAGCAAATACAACACTTTCACAACCACTGTCTCACGTCATCTTCCTGGTAGAAATAATAGTTTTTCGGCAACATCCCACAACTTTTTATAGGGTTTATTGAGTCCCCCTCCCTCCCTCCCTCCCCTCGCCCCCCTCTCCCACACAACTTGGCTTCCCCGTAACACCGTCAGTTCTGGGATGTGTTGTGGTTCCTTTAAGTAAGAGTATCCCGTGATAGTTCTGAAGTGTGATAAGGAGAAGTAAAACGTGTGGTTTATGGTCCACCAACGGCAGATAAAGTGTTTAGGTGAGGTGAAGTAACTTACAAAATAACTACAAAAAGAATGAGAGAGAGAGAGAGAGAGAGAGAGAGAGAGGTAGGTGACACGCTTATAGCTTCTTAAAGATTATTCAGTTTATTTGTTGTATATAATAAATGTTCTTCTCATGTACTGTGAATATATAAGGAAATAAAACACACACACACACACACCTCAGCATGACTGATCTCGGCAACCACTATCTTCCCCCCAGCCGCTGCCTCCCATGGGGCGGAGCACCCACCTGTCTCTACTGTGGTCACCTTCACCTACCATCTCACGACCGCCAGTTGTCACCAGGACTTACCGACCTACCCCTGACTGCCATGCGGAGTTTCGGACAATGGGTGACCCGGTATCCCTGGACTGAAGTGATCACGGTAGACGATGTGCAGAACAAGTGGGATAATTACCTGGACACTATCACCAAAGCCTCCCACCACTTCTTTCCAGCCAAGACACTGAGGATTCACCCAGATGATGTCACGTGGATTACACCCCGTATCAAAAGACTAATTGAGAAGCGCAACAAGGCATACTACACCAACAACCGCCTGTACAAAAGTCTACGTAATCAGGTCATCAGGGAAATCAAGTCAGCCAAGAAGTCTTATTATCCCAGGAAAGTGCACGGCCTCAAGGAAGTCGGCATCGGTCAGTGGTACTCTTAGGTAAAAGATCTCTGTGGTCTTAACCGTCAGTCTCCCACATTTCCTTTTATCTCTTATTTACCTAATGAGGAGGCAGCTGAGACAATTAATAACCACTTTCCTACCATATGTCATACCCTCCCTAGTCTTGACCTCACTCTCCTCCCGGCCTATTTACCTTCCCCCTCCTCCCCTCCCAGCGTTCAACCATTTGAAATTGCCAACAAACTCCTGAAATTTAAATCCAAACGCTCTACAACCCCAATTGACCTCCCAATCAAAATTTACAAGGAGTTTGCATTCGAGCTTGCCATCCCCCTCTGTTCCATTATTAATGCATCCCTCAGACAAAGCAAATGCCCTAATGAATGGAAAACCGCATTTGTCACCCCTATCTCCAAGATCCCCACCCAACAGTCCCTTAATGACCTCAGGCCAGCTGCCATTACCCCATACCCAGTCTACTCTGTGAAGACTTTGTTCTTGAAAGGGCATTTGCTAGTATTCATCAGCCAGTTGATCCACAGCAATTTGGCAATATGAGGACCTCCTCTACATCACACTACTTAATCAGTTTCCTGGACTTTCTGCACAAAAACCCGGAGAAATAAGACATCACTGGCCGTTGCCCTTGTTGACTTCAAAAAGGCTTTTGACCTTGTTGATCACT